TATATGCAAAAATATTATCCACCACTATTTCAGATCGATTTAAATTAATCCCATCACCAGTAGAACTTATTAAAAGTTCCTCACTCACTTGAGTCTCGGGTTCATTGATTTCTTCAGGAATCTCAGAACTAATCAGATCTTGGGTCTCTTCAGGAGATCCCTTCATAATATCATTTTGATCATTTGTCGATTTTCTTTTTCTAGAATTTCGATCCTTAGAACCCAAAGGCCTACCACGCTTCAGGCGTGCTTTAGGTTCACTAGCTCTCGTGCTAGTAGATGGTCCTACTGGGACATCAATTCAGATAGGAACATTCTATGCAGGGATATGTGACTTAGTTATCCTTTTCAAATCAGTAAATGCGTCTGGCATTTGATTTGCTATATTCTGTAAATGGATGATCTTCTGGACCTCCTGATTACATATAGGGGTACGTGGATCAAAGTGAGATAATGATGAAACTTTTCACACAATTTCTCTTTTGATTTCCTTTTTCTCTCCCCCTAATTGTGGGAAATTTGTTTCATCAAATCGATAATCTGCAAATCGAGCAGTAAATAAATCTCTCGTCAATGGTTCAAGATAGAGAATAATAAGGGTGATTCAAACCCAATATATATTCCTAACCTTCTTTGGGGGCCCATCTTATTGCGTTGTGGTGGTGCTACTGGCACATATATAGCATATCCAAAAATTCGTAGATGGGCAATATTTGGTTCATGACAAAAACTAATTGTGACGAGGAATATTTATTATAATGTATCGGTCTGAGACGAATAAATGATGCTGCGTGCAAGATAGCATGGCCCCAAACATTAATGGGCAATTTTGTTTTCATAAGTTGTGGTCTTGTTATCAATTGCAGTCGTTTAATAAATGACTCTGCAAGGCCATTTTGAGTATGAACATAAGCTACATGATGTTCAACTTTTATCCCAACTGATAGATAGTAATTATCAAAAGCTTGAGATGAGAATTCTCCAGTATTATCAAGGCGAATAGCCTTTATATGATAATATGGGAATTGTGCCCTTAATCGAATTATTTGGGCTAATAACTTTGCAAACGCCAGGTTGCGAGATGATAGTAGACACACATAAGACCATCTTGAAGATGCATCTATTAAGACCATAAAATATCTAAATAACCCACTTAGTGGGTGAATAGGTCCACATATATCCCCATGTATACGTTCTAAAAAGGCATGAGATTCAATGCCAACCTTCAGTGGTGATGGTCTAGTGATCATTTTGCCTTGATAACAAGCATCACAAAAAAATTCATTATTTGTAAGAATCTTCAAGTTCTTTAATGGATGCCCACTCGAATTTTCAGTAATTCGTCTCATCATTATTGATCCAGGATGGCCCAAACGGCCATGCCAAAATACAAAAGTATTTGAATAAGTAAACTTCCGGTTTACAATAGAGTGTACTTCAACTATACTAATCTTTGAATAGTATAAGCCAGAAGATAAAGTTGGTAATTTTTCTACAATGCATTTCTGGACAGAAATATTCTTTGTAATACAAAGATATTCCACGTTCATTTCATCTATTGTCTCAACATGATATCCATTTCGGCGGATATCTATAAAACTCAACAAGTTTCTTCGGGACTTGGAGGAGAACAATGCATTGCCGATAATAAGTTTTGTTCCCTTAGGCAGAAATACAGTAGCTCTTCTGGAGCCTTCAATCAAATTTATATTACCAGAAATTGTAGAAACATTTACTTTTTCCTTATGCAAATAAGAAAAGTATTTCTGATCTTTGAATATGGCATGAGTTGTTCCACTATCAATTACACAAATATCTTCATGATTGGTCTTTGATCCAAACATAATTTGAGGATTATCCATATTCTTCAAAATGACATAAACAAAATAAATATGATAGTAAACATCATTTTCAAAGCATAACTTTTATTTATGTACAACAATTACATAACCATATTATCTACTACAAACAACAAAAATTAAAATATTTACATTTCTACAGATTTATTATCGATCACATGACTTGTTTCTCCTTCTGGGAGTGCAAAATAATCAGCTACATCCTAATGCATGAAGTCTAAATTATCTTCAGAAATAAAATTTGCTTCAGCATTTTCCTCTGTCTTCTTCAGGGAGGCTTGATACATCTCTACCGGGTGCTTTGGCGTACGACATGTACGTGACCAGTGCTATTTTCCTCCACATCTATAACATGCATTTCCTAGCTTTGCTGTTTGCACCACTTCATGCTTTTGTTCCTTCCTTTACCACTGCTGGTGGTGAGGAGGGTTCTTTGGTGCATTGTTATTACCACGATTAGAGTTTCCTCCCCGACCACGGCCATGACCACGACTGGGGGCACGTCCTCGTATCATTTACTTCAGGGAATGGACAAGAACCAGTAGGTCGGCTTTCATGGTTTTTCATTAATAGCCCATTATGTTGCTCGGCTACAAGAAGATGTGAGATAAGTTCAAAATACTTTTTGAATCCCATCTCTTGATATTGCGGCTGCAGGAGCATATTCGAGGCATGAAAAGTGGTGAAAGTTTTCTCCAACATATTATGATCAGTAATATTATCACCACATAGTTTCAATTGAGAAATAATTCTGAACATAGAGGAATTATACTCACTGATAGATTTAAAATCTTGTAGCCTTAGATGAGTCCAATCATAACGTACCTGTGGAAGAACGACCATCTTCAGGTGGTCATATCTATCTTTCAAATTATTCCACAGTATGACTGGATCTTTAACAATAAGATATTTCATTTTCAAGCCCTCATCAAGGTGATGGCGCAGGAATATCATTGCTTTGGCACGGTCTTGATTTGATGCCTGATTTTTATCTTTGATGGTGTCTGCCAGACCCATCGCATCAAGATGAATTTCGGCATCAAGCACCCAAGACATGTAGCTTTTGCCAGATAAATCCAGGGCTACAAACTCAAGTTTAGAAAGATTTGACATTATTTAGAAAAAAAAAGTTCGTACCTCTGATACGTTCAAAGTATTTTCTCAAGATGGCAGAGTCTCGTACTGATAACGTGTTATAAAATAAAGACTGTAAAGTAAAGACAAGTATAAAGAGAAACTGATATATTATTCAAACTTCAAACCTATGTACATAATGAACTGAAAACTCCTCTATTTATAGAAGAAAGGAAGCAGCTGCGAGGCTTTTCTTTAGCTGCTTGTAAGCTGTCTGCATGAGCTGCTTGCAACCTGTCTGTTTAATAAGAAACTGTTGCAAATCATTTCATTGAGCTACTTGCAACCTGCCTGCATCAACTGCTTGTAGATAAACTTCATCAAAATACTAAATGGATAATCTTCTTCAGGAAAATTATCTATAGCGGAGTAATAAATGGACATCCATAAATATAATTATTTTCATAACATGGCTCAATTTATTTGTAAAATAAGCGACAGGACAATAACTTATTAAAATTAGATACAAAATTATAATCTAATGCCTACTTGTGTTTAACGAGAAAATCATCATTTCACGCGAAATATTTCTCAAACAAGTTTTTTAATATTTCAAAGTCACATTATTTATAAAAATACTAAACTTTAATATTTGAAAAGCTAATGAATATGTAGGCGTCTGAATATATTTGGTTGAAGTTTGGAATTTTTTTTTCTCAAGTTAAGGTTAAAAATATAAGTATTCATTTTAAAACTGGTCAACTAATTATTTTCTAATAATATTTTAAATATTTCTCATTTTGACCAATTATTTGCAAATACTGAATATCTGACAATTAGCCTAAAAAGGTCCCAATAATACAACAACAACAACAACAACAACAATTCAGCAAAATCTCATTAATGGGGTCTGGGGAGGGTAGTGTGTACGCAGACCTTACCCCTACCCCGAATGAGTAGAGAGGCTATTTTCGAAAGACCCTCGGCTCAAAAAACAAAAATACAAAAGGACAAAAAGGAAGACAATATTAGTATCACAACAACAATCATAGGATAAATAGGAACACCATGAAATCCAGAAGAAAGATGCAAAGCAAAGGGAGACAATATTAGTAAATATTAGTATCACCACAACAGTCATAAGAAAAATAGGAACACCATGAAATCTAGAAGAAAGATGGAAAGCAAAAGCGATAGCTAGTAAATAGGACATGCACTTAAAAGCAAAATAGTAAGTCACAACATTCCCACTAGCTATCTTAGACAAAAACCCTACATGGCTAGTCTCACCATGGTACGAAGTAAGGCCCGACTCAACTACCTCATAATCTACAACCCTAATACTCGACCTCCACATCTTTCTATCAAGTGTCATGTTCTCGGAAATCTGGAGCCTCGCCATATCCTGCCTGATCACCTCTCCCCAATACTTCTTAGTCCGCCCTCTACCTCTTCTCGTGCTCTCCATAACCAGCTGCTCACACCTCCGTACCGGAGCATCTGGGCTTCTCCTCAGAACATGTCCGAACCATCTAAGCCTCACTTCCCGCATCTTGTCATCAATGGGAGCCACATGCACCTTCTCCCGAATATCATCATTCCTAATCTTATCTATTCTAGTGTGCCCGCACATCCACCGCAACATCCTCATTTCTGCTACTTTCATCTTCTGGATATGTGAATTCTTAACGGGTCAACACTCAGTCACATACATCATGGCTGGTCTAACCACCGCTTTATAAAACTTACCTTTGAGTATCGGTGGCACTCTCTTGTCACACAGGACTCCAGCTAACCTCCACTTCATCTATCCTACCTCAATACGGTGTGTGGTATCCTCGTCGATCTCCTCTTCCTAATCAAGGTACTTAAAACTGTCTCTACTCAGGATGACCTGCGAATTAAGGCCTCACATCCAGGCCCACTTCCCCTGACTCAGCACTTAACTTACAATCCAGATATTCCGTGAACGTTCTACTCGGCTTGAAACGTTAGACTCAAGAGTGGTCCCAATAATCAGAACAGAAAAAGAGGTAGTTCACGTGAAGCGGTGACATGAAGCATAAGTTGTTGTGCCGATAAAGCAATCTGTGGCAGCTATCAATTCCTATGAATCCTTTAATTCTCAAAAATAACTACCATAACGCTGCTCCGTATCTTTCTCCCAGAACTTACAGAACAATAGTCCTGCTTCACTCTGTTTCCACTGCTTTTTCTCAAACTCTGCAACATATTGACACGATTTTCAAGTCCATTACTGGGAGTTCCTCTCATCACCTTAGATCATACTTTTCAACTCAACACAAATTGTCATCCGTCAAATACTCTTTTGCGACAATTTCAACTGCTCGTTTCATTGTCACTGCCTCCTCTTCACCATCATCTCCTTCTACAACAGTTGCCGAATTCCAGGGTCTCGAGGTATCTAATTTGTTCGAATTTTCTATATATAATGTGTTGATTTTATGTATCTAATGGAAAATTGTAGCTTTACTATTGATTTGCTTGAATCGCAGATTAAATCTGTTCCTACAAAGCCTATTGAAGGTCAAAAGACCGGAACTAGTGGTCTACGCAAAAAGGTGTTTTTTTCTTTTTCTTTTCTGTTTATTCAAATAATTTAATGCATACGGTTCATTCTAATTACCTTTGCTTCTTTTTGTGTTTAGGTTAAAGTGTTTATGCAGGAAAATTACCTTGCAAATTGGATACAGGTATGGTTCTCTCTGAACTTGTAGTGATAATCAATTCCAGTGTACTCAACTCTGTGTAATTTGTTTTATGATGTTTCAATACAGGCATTGTTTAATTCTTTGCCACCAGAGGATTTTAAGAATGGACTATTAGTCTTAGGAGGCGATGGTTGATATTTCAATAAAGAAGCTTCACAGGTAGTGGTCAAATTTTCGTACATAATCTGTGTTTCATGTGTATCCTGATTCCTGAAGAACTATTTATGGTTTTCTGATCCCTAATGCATCTTAAGCTACAATGCAGGTAATCATTAAAATTGCTGCGGGTAATGGTGTTGGTAAAATATTGGTTGGCAAGTGAGTGTCCTAAATTACACTTATAGCAATCTTCATGTTCATCATAGCATGAATGAATTCTTCAAATTTCACATCCTAGTGATCTTATTGCTTGAAATAATCTTAAATTTTCAAAAAGAGGAACTTTTTAACTACAGTGAGTTATTAAGCACTAATTTTGTTACTTTCTGTACTGTGAAACTTAGTCCTGCCAATTTAATCTGTATAAATCTGTTCTCTATGTTTTTGAGAAGATAGAAATCCTCTTACTCAATCTTTATGTGCAATATAACTTAGAATTGCCTTGTCTAATTATAGTCTCCATGAGCCATCTGTTGTTGCAATCAATCTTTATTTCTTCTAAGAGCCCATATCCTTCTAGTTTTTATTCAACTGTTTGGATATAGCTAGATTGTTTCATTTCTTTTTCTGGGTTCCCTCGTTCTGGCATATTTCTCTGCTTATTTTTGTGCTCTTATCCAAAAAGTGAAAAGAAAATATTTGATATGTATAGATGACGAATCTCTGTTTGGCAGGGATGGTATAATGTCCACACCAGCTGTATCTGCTGTTATACGGAAGAGAGAGGTGATAATTCTGTTTTAATTATTTTATTTGCTTTCTCTTTGCTATTTTTGAATGACACTTAAAGCTAATCCTCAGGCAAATGGTGGCTTTATAATGAGTGCAAGCCATAACCCTGGTGGTCCTGATTATGATTGGGGTATCAAGGTAAATTTCTAGTCAGCAAATCTTGTACTGGAAATTGTTCTTAGCTGTCCCATTTGCTGCTAAAATATACAGTAAAAAATTGTTATTTTTTTTAAAGTTTAAAAAACTGGTTCCACATAGAATTTCCTAGATATGACTGATTTCTGATATTCAACCTCTCTAAACTGGCTATTCCAAGAACTTAGCATTTCTGATTATCATTTTCTTTTGTCAGTTCAATTACAGCAGTGGCCAACCAGCACCTGAGTCTATCACAGACAAGATCTACGGAAACACCCTTTCTGTATGATCCCATCCGCTTGGGCTAAATAATACGCTATGCTATTTTTTGATTTAAATGACGTCTTGTAGCTGGAATACAACACAAGTTTCTTTAGTGCTGTATCTGCATAGACATGTGTAGTGTGGGTAACCGAAAGAAACTGTTATGGTTCATTGGTAAATGATTCGGCATCTGAATTCCTTGTTTCATAAGGGTTTTTGCAGATTTCTGAAATAAAAATTGCCGACATTCCTGATGTTGATCTTTCTCAACTTGGAGTCACAAAATATGGAAATTTAGTGTGGAGGTGGTTGACCCTGTCACTGATTATTTGGAGCTAATGGAGGTGAGTGGCTGAAATTTTGCATCTCTGAAATTTTTTAAATGCACTCCATGATACTATCTATAACTTAACTGATAATGTGCAGAATGTATTTGATTTTTCGCTCATTAGAAGTCTTATTTCGTGACCAGATTTCAGATGTGTTGCTTTGTGTCTTGCCAGTTATGAAGCATTGTTTTACTTTGTGCTTTTATGTACTTTTAATTTGCTACATTATATTACCCCTGGACATTCCTCGGAGTTTGTTCCTCCATAGTTTCATATATTGTTGATTTCTATAGCCTGTTCCTCAAACGGATGACTGCTGTGGTAGACACACTTCTCTTCAAATATCTAGACTTATCTAATTTCTTCTGACAAGATGATAATTAACTTCAATCACCTAGTATACCCTGAACCCTTTTGAAGCGATGTTGACTATGTAGTATTTGAATCTGGTTCTGCTTCTAGCATAACTATATCCATAGGTGAAATTTGGAAACCATAACTTACAGTAAAGGAAATAACTTACAGTAAAGGATAATTAGGAGTTTTTAGATTCAGCTGAGACATCATAAGTCCTGTGTACGTAATTATCATTAGTCATATGTAAGAGAAATGTAGAATATCGACTTGAATATTTATAAGGCAAAAGTATTTCATAAGCTCTTAGATCAGCAAAACATCATATTGTTCTGAAAGCAAAGTTCAGTCTTACCATTTTCAATTGACTGTCTTCTAAGATGGTAAGGGAAGTGTAAATGCATGCCATACTATTGCTGAAGTTCTGTCTAGCAGCAATGCAAATTATGAATAGATGTTTGCAGGATTCTACGTTATTCCTACTTAAAGTAGATCACTCGCTGCATTTTTAGTAGGATTGAACTAAGTCATAGCACTACTAAGAAAGGGTTACTTTTTTGTTTTTTGAGGGATCCATCCCTCACTCTGTGTCTACACCTTATAAAAGCCTTTCAATGAAAAATAAGATTAGGAGAATGGTGTCATGGTTTGAATTGGAGGCCATTAGAGGCTAATGGTCATCCCCCTTGATAGTAGGAGGTGATTTTAGTGTGATGAGATACTCAGAAGAAAGGAGCCACCAGAACTGATTGGTTAGATCGATAAGAGAGTTTTTTGATTTTATTGAGGAAATGCAGTGGATAGATCCACCTTTGCAAGGTGGGAAGTTCTTAAATTCATTTTGTTCCAAAGGAGAAAACTCAAGGGTGGCTTCACGAATTGACAGATTTCATTTTCCGGTCGAATGGAATGAGGAATTCAAATATGTCAAACGAGCTACACTGCCAAGATCGGTTTCTGATCACTAGCCCTTTCAATATAGCTGCGAGCAAACAAGAACATCTGAACATGTGGTTGGAGGTTGAAAGTTTTGTAGATATGACGAAAAGACTGGGAGATTCATATGAGGTGAGAGGAAGGGCTGATACTCTGTTATGATATAGCAACACAAGATGGTCCGGATCTAAATTTATTTTAGTCTTTACACCTAATTTTCCTGGTTTTTACATTATGATTACAAACTTAAGCTGCTGAAACAGGATTGGAAGGCTTAGAACCTAAATACATCTGGTGATCCAGAAAGAAGGAAAAAACTGATTCTGGAATAGATACAAGACTTGGATAAGCAACAGGAAGAAAGGAACTTATCTGCAAAAGAATCCTCATATACACCAAAGCCAAGAGGTAACCAAGTTTAAAGAGATACCTTGAGGCAAANAAGTTTAAAGAGATACCTTGAGGCAAGATGGTAGATGCTTCTGGCTAAACAAAGTGACAAGACCACATGCTTGATTCACAAAATGCAAATGTTCAAAAGAATTACAAGCATGTAAAATTGTCATCATCCAGATGATATGGGAGTGGAAATAATAAACTTTTTACTGCAAATGTTCACTAGAATTACCAGCATATAGAATTTTCATCATCCAGATGATATCAGACTATCAGAGTGGAAATAATCAACTCCTTAATTACCAAGAGGAAGTATTGGAGTTCTGCTCTTAAAAGCGTAAACCTCTATATCTTATTTGATAGTGGAAAGAGAGGTACTTTGACATTTTATCATAGGTGTTCGCCAGTGATCAACGGGGATCTTATGAAAGCGTTGAACGACTTTGATCACTTTTGAGTATTTTTATTTTATGAAAATTTTTGTGCTGCATATATCACATTAATACTTGCTAGGGCTGGAGCCAAAGAATTGAGGGACTTCAGCCACTCATAGAAAGATAAAAAAAAAAGTGATCAGCAAACTAATTGTTGTCGCGCAGAATGCTTATATTTAAGGAAGAAAGTTAATAGACTCAATGTTGATCACCAGTGAATATCTAGAACCTAAATATAGGAAAGAGACAAGGTATAATTGCATTGGTTTGCATCCTTGATCTAGAATAAACTTATGACCACGTTAATTGAGAGTTACTCCTCAACCTATTGAAGAATAGTGTTCTGGAGACAAATGGGTGAAAACCATTAAGTTTTCCATCTTCGCTATTAGATTCAATTCTGATTAATAGAAGATGGTCTTTTTCTCACTTTCATATTCTTGTTGGTAATGTAAGGATTAAGTAAGATGCTGAACATAGCTAGAGAATAGAATTGGACAGGAAGTTTCTCTATGGAGGTGGACAGGACCAACACTTTTGCTATAATGCAATTGTTATATGCTGCTGATGAGACTGTAAACTTTTGTGATGTAGAGAGGAACAACTGAAATATCTCAGAGTAATTTTATTGGAGTTTGAGGCAATTTCAGGACTTAATAACAATAATAATCTGGCAAAAAACTGCCTCTCTCTAGTTAATGATCTCTAGAATATACCAACAGCTGGCGAAATATTCGATTATGAAGTCTGATTATTCCCCAATCCCCAGTACATATCTAGGACTACCTCTTGGGGCTAACATAAGGATGCAATTGTTTGGAAAGGAGCGTGGGAGCAGTTTGAGTGTATATCAGATTGGACACAACAATATTTATCTTTTGGTGAATTGGTGGAGGACTCGCACTTATCGATAGTGTGTTGGATGGTAGTCCAACCTACGTGAGGTCTCTATTTTTACTACCCATTGAAGTGGAAAAGAAACCGGACAAGCTTAAAAAGGATTTTTCCAGAAGGAAACAAGGATAGGAAGACTTTTCCTTGGTTAAGTAGAATGAATTGACTCATAAAACACATTTGGTGGCTTCGGGTAGAATTATGAGGTTGCTTAACAAAAATTTGCTATCGAAGTGGTTATGGAGATACAGTTGGGATCAGAAGAACTCTGGAAGCAGGTTATCCATGCAAGAGTATGAAGTAATGAGCCTGGTGCACAAGACCAGTGACATGGTGATATGGTATTGGTTCTATCGAAGAGTGTAAGAAACTTATTGAAGGAATTCCCTCCAAATATTAGCTTCTCAGTTCTGTTACCATTCTAAAAAAAAAAAAAAAAGGCTTCTCAGTAGGTAATGGAAGGAAGTTGAGACTTCGGCCTGATGATTTGATATACCACATACCTCTGAAAGATGAGATCCCGAATTTGCTACTGTTGCTTGGTACAGTTCTACTCATGGATGGGAACTGTCTTTTTGAAGAAACTGGGAAGATTAGGAAGTTAAGAGGATAGCTTAGACCTTGAAAAATTGGAAGGAAAACGAGTTTCACCAACTGTACCAGATTCTCTATGGTGAAAACACCAGAAGGACTGGAAGGTAGGGTATAACTTCTATCTTTATCTTACATCTCCTCGGTTAAATGACGTTTCAAATCATTTAGAGAACAAAAGCTCCTCCAAAAGTGGCTGGGTTTTGTTGGATTGAAAAGCATGAGGTGTTTGACGCAAGCGAAACTTGCAGAAAAGCGGCATTAAGATTTATGTATGTGTGTAATGAAGATATATACTGATGCATTGTGCAGTGGCAAGGTAGCTTTGCATTTTGTTTTTGATCCTAGATAGGCTGAATCGGGTGATGCAGGGAGGTTAAACTGGTCAGGAAGAATAGTTAACAAATGAAAGAGTATGTGAAGTACAGTTCCTGCATTTGTTCTAGGATAGTTTGGACACAAAAGAGTAGGAGATGCTTAGGTGATGCCAATACATGGTCTTAGATATAAATGCTTGTATATTTTGGCATTTGGGTGTATTTTACTGTATGTATATGATGTAGAAACACCTCTTGAATTCCTTATCTCTCTTAGAGTTCCAATAAGATGCTCTTTCAACTGAAACCTCTTTCCAGTGCTATTCTTACCTACTTAAATTTATAAAAGGAACCAAGTTTATCCTTGAAATATTCAAGTTTGTGTTATAAGTAAACCTTTACCTCTAGTTTGGCTTCCACTTTAAGAGTACTGTATTTTCTCAGCTCCTTTCTTGAGTTTCAATTTGTGTATGCAAATGAAGTCAAATTACTCTCTGAATTATGGGTGCATTCTTCTATGGTGGATGTTCCTCTTGAAATATATTTCGTCGGGTAGTTCAACCTTATCGATTTCACTTAGTTACTTTATGACTTTATCTCTATGCCTGTTTTGTCCTTGTAAGGAAGGAGAAATCCTGTTTGACTGAACACAGGCTAATTGAGCTACGAAGAAATCACTGTTTAACTGACTATAGCAATTCAAATGCAATTTTTTAGGCAAATGAATAAACTTTAATAAGTTATGAATTTCTTGCATAATCTCGATGCTCAGTAAAATGAGCTTACACTAAAGGACAATATTTATTATTTTGCATCCTTTTTCCCTTTTTCTCTCCGCCGGATGTCTTTGCTCATGCTTATGCTTATTAATGTTTGATGCTGCTGACAGGTTTACATTTGATGCCATGCATGCAGTTACAGGGGCTTATGCAAAGCCCATTTTTGTTGACAAACTAGGAGCTAGCCTGGTATGTATGCCGTGGAGTTGTTTCTTCAGCTATTGGACTATCTTGCAATTTCTTGGTTGTAGCTTTATCATTTTTGTATATGTTATGTAGGAGTCTATTGCAAATGGAGAGCCACCGGAAGATTTTGTGTCACGACCCAATTTTTCCTTCCGTTGGGTATCATGATGGCACCTAGTCTTAGGGACTAGGTAAGCCTAACATTTATTGAATAACAACAATAATTAAATAACATCTAACAATTTTTGAAATGGAAATCTCTATAAAATTTACAATTCTCAAAACCGGTAGTACAAGTAATAAGCTCTAGAGTTTGTTACAATTTTCTAAATACGACTGTTTGAAATAAAGTAAACAATGTGAATACAAATCAGAAGGTGACTCCGAAGCCTGCGAACGCAGCAACATGTTTACCTTGAGTCTTCACAACAACAATCCGCACAGCTAGCTAATGATCAACTGACTCCACATTTACCTGGCTCTGCACAAAAATGTGCAGAAGTATAGTATGAGTATACTACAATCGGTACCCAGTAAGTATCAAGACTAACCTCAGCGGAGTAGTGACGAGGTACAGTCAAGACACTCACTAGTCAAATAACCTATGCCATACTAAAATAATCGAAAACAAATAGCAGTGATAGCAATAATAATCCACTAGTGCTATAGACAGTAAGGCATCAAGAACACCATAATTATTACTCCGACGAATAAGAAAACACAACACAAGTACAACCAATTAAATAAGTCTTTCAAATATAAATCTTTCACATATAATTCTTTCGAATAAATACCCTCTAAATATATTTCTTCAAATAAGTATCCTTCGAATATAAAACTCTTTCAAATGAATACCTCATGTCATAATCATAAAATACGGTTCTCAGCCCCCTTTCATATTCTCACGGCACCTCGTGCCCATATCTCTATCACAACCGCACAGACGACTCTCGTGCCAAATGTGTCAATACATAAAAATCTGCACGATTTAATTCATTTTCAATAAAGTAAGGTTGCAATTTTTAACCCAAGTAAGAATTCAACAAGGAAATGAGTTTAGTTTAGAAATAGTTTGAGAGAAGAAAAATGACATTTTCAATTTAAATAAAACATAAAAAAAATCTACTAATTTGGATGCAAAACTTATTAATTTAAAACATAATAGTAACTTATTTTATTTAAAACAACTCAGTCATCGAAAATTGTTAAAAAAATCAGGAATATAAATCTTCAGAGTCTCGTACTAAAATGCCCAAGCCAACACAATACAACAAGGAATACAAACACCTAGTAAAACTCAAATAATACATCACGGCAGATCACAAGAATTTACCTAACACGGAAATACAAAATAACCAAAGGCAAGTGCAACCATAGAGAAATGTAACAAAAGGGCACTCCCGAGATACTATCACGTAGTCCCAAAAGTAAATGCTCAACAGGGGATCTCCCGAGATACCGTCTCGTAGTCCCAAAGTAAATATGCAAGACAGGGGATCTCCCGAGGTACCGCCTCATAGTCCCAAAGTAAATATG